TCCTGCCCCACTGGGGGGGGTGGGGTTCCATGGGGAGGACAGAGGATTTGGCCATCACTGCCACCAGGCAGCTACCTAGAAACAGAAGGAAACACGTGTGAGGAGGTCCAGTGACCCCATCTTGCCCACCCACACCAGGCTGGGGGCACACTCACTGGGAACCCTGTGAAAGGGGCCCTCCTGGGGTAGAGCCATTGGGCGTCTCAAGGGCCTGGGCACTGTTCGGGGAGAAAGGAGAACTGGGGGTTACCTCCTGCCCCACCATCCTTGCCCATCCATCCAACACCTCCTGGAGAGGCCAACTCACCTCTGGCTTTGGGGAAGCCCCAAAGGTTCTGGGTTCTTTTCCCCCTCCACTGTCTGGGGGGACTTCTGGGCCTCAAAGGCTGGGACAGAGGTAGAGGGGTCTCTGGTTGCACTGTAGGAGAGACCAGTTTGACTACTGTTAGATGCCTGCTGACAGGCTCTGCCTGCTGAGGCCAGTGGTCTCTCCAGAATGGGCCTCAGGTGAGAAAAGGCTGGGGCACAGAGCCCTCACAACAGGGAAGCCTATGAGCACACTGAAGGCAGAGAGAGCATGGGGGCGGGAGAGCCGGGGCTCCTCAGCCTTCTACCTGACAGCTCTCAGTGGCCAACCCCCTTCAGGGTACGCTTATGGTAACACGCACACTCCTGCCACTGTCCAAAACATTTCATCACTAAAAGGAACAGCCAGCTCTAGGGGCAAAGGAGCTCAAAGTGGAGCCCGGTGCTGAGGACAAGTAGGGACAAGGGCGCAGCAGCCACTTCAGCAAGGAGGCTGGGCTTCCCCTACCCCTCCTCCAGCAAGCAGCTCAGATGGACACCAACAGTCACCTGTCCAAGGAGCTGGGGTCAGAGCACATCCCATGCAGAGTGGCCTGGACATCCGCAACACTAACCAAGGCCTGGCAGGGGGCTGTGGAAGGAGAGATGGGCCGTATGTCAGCAAGCTGAGACATGGCCTTACTGCTGTCTTCACAGCACACATGGGCCTGAGGCAGAGCCCTTGCCCTTCTGGGAAAGGGACGGCTTGGCTCACCCAAGGGCTCTGCTACTTTGCTGCTGTCTGAGACTTCCTGAGGTGCTGAGGGGGGTATGGGGTCCTGAGACCTAGAAGGTAAGACAGGAACTTGAACATGTGGCTGTGGTCAACACCCAAGCTCAGGAGAGGACCAGGGCGTGGGAGTCCCTCCCAGATGACAGTCACAGCTGCCTGCCCTGCCCTGCCCATCCATACCTGAGCTGTGGGGCACGGTGGGCTGGAGAGCTGGTCTGGATCTGGGTAGAGGACATGTCTGTCTTCTTGGAAACTGAGGGTCCTGTTGGGGCATCCGTAGGCACTGGTTCAAAGGTGGCTGTCCAACTTGGGGCTGTGAGAGGTCAAAGAGCATGGACAGAGGATGAGCTTCAAGAAGGCAGCCGCGCCCCGTGTACCTGAGCACAAGCCACCAAACACTTACCAGGAGGCTGAGGGCCTAGGCTGGGGAAGGAGGGAGGGCTGGCCCTTCCACAGGCCGCCTGGGCAGCCCCCTCATCCTCTTCCTCTTCCTCCTCCTCATCCTCGTCGTCCTCGCTGTCTGTGCTTCCTCCACTCCTGCCTCAGACACCAACTCATTAGGAGGCCACCTAGGGGCAGCCTACTGACCCACTTCCCCAGCCACAGAGCAGGACAGCGCAAGATGATGGGCAACAGAGGCCTCCAGGGAGGTCCAGGGAACCCAGGCAATGAAGATGCCGCAGGGAGAAGCCAGCAAACAAGGGGAGTCTGAGTCACTCCAGAACAAGACTCAGCCACAACCACAAGAGATGAGGCACCATCTCTCAAGTCGCAGCTGTTACCAGTGTCAAATACACACAGACCTTTCCAAATAAAAGATTGACTTTGCTTTTTTCCTCCAGCTATAAATGCCAGGAAACACCTTATCCCTCCTATGCAGAGCCTACTTCCTAAAGCACATGTGTGTATGTAAACGGTACAAACGTGAGCACAGTGTGACATTTAGAAAAGAGACCTAGGTAGTGAGGAAAGATGCAATGTAGGCAAAAAGGACATGAGTCAGAGAGTTACAAATCAGCCAGGCTTAATCCCAGCACTCGGGAGGGAGGCAGAGGCAGGCAGATCTCTGTGAGTTCAAGGCCAGCCTGGCCTACAGAGCTACACAGAGAAACCCTGCCTCGAAAAACCAAGGAGGGGGGGCGGGGTTTGCAATCTTTCTATTTTTGCCTAGTGTCAGATCTATTATAGTTTATCTTGTTTGCCCCATGGCAGACAAGTGAGTCAGTGCTCTGGGTATTGAAGGAGCAAGAACCATAAAGTCAAGTCAGTGAGAGCAGTACGTGAAAACCGTAGGCGATAGGCCAGTGCCTCAGAGCAGCCACGGACTGTAGGAGAGTCAGGGGCTGCTTCTTACATCAGCTGTGTGATGCTTTGATTTAGGAGTTCATTAGAAGAAAGTAAAGAAAGAAGAACAGAAGAACACAAAAACATAAACAGGGTGTGGAGGTGCATGCCTGTAATCCCAGAACTCAGGAGAGTGACAAGTTCAAGGTCACCCTCACTTACAAAGCCAGTTTAAGCCAGCCTGGGCTCTATGATACTATTTCTCAACAAAGCAACAAAACAAAAATATCAAGGGGAAAAAAAAGACAAGAGGGATTTCTTTAAACACCAAAGCTAGATCTGCTACACTCTGTCAGGTAGTTCTGGGCACACACATCAGGAATCCGGGTCAGCATAGAACAAAGACAGCTGCACAGTTATTTATTACAATACTATTTACAATGCCAAGTTATAACATCAGCCTCAGTGAGGACTAGACAAAACATGATCTATATACAAAGAGAGGTTGGAGTTTTATTTAGCAGTAAAGAATGAAATTAGACATTTGCAGGGTAACAGACCACCATGTTAAGGGAAATAAGCTACAATTTACAAAGACACAAAAAGAGGGCAGTTAGTTGGGAAGAGGGGAGGGAGAGTAAGAGAGGGTTAGAAGGGTTAATAACATAAAAGGTAACATAAAAAACCTACTGTTTTGCACAATTAATCTCTCCAAATTTGTGCATGCATGTGTGTGTGTGTGCGTGTACTTGTGTGTGTGTACACTCCAGCCAGTAGGATGGCTTAGTAAATAACAGTACCTGACACCAAGTCTGACAACCTGAATTCAATTTCTGGGACCCAAGCTGTGGAAGGAGAGAACTGACTCCTGCTGTCTTTTGACACTCCCAAGCACACCACAGCTCCTGTGCACCCACACAAGAAATAATAATAATAGTAATACCACAGTGAAAATCTGGGTTGTGGCACACACCTGCACTCCTAGGGTCAGGAGGCTGCCTCAAAACATTCTAGCGACAAGAGTCTCAGATACAGGACCCTTTCCTCATAGTGTATGATTACAAAGAGTTGGCAAGATGTCAGCACACTGATGCCCAGGGCAGGCAATTGGCATTGGGCTGCAGGGCAGGAGGGCCTGCTGCACTGCGTGTGGGGCCCCCTACACCCTCCACACCCCCCACACCCTGACAGCCAGGACAGGCAGCACTGGAGGACAGGAGCCATGAAAGGTACAGAGGGAGGGAGCTCTGCTGCTCCTGGCTCTAGATGCTGACTGAGAGCTTCTATCTGGCTACAAACACAGGGTCTGTACATTCATTCATCTGTATGCATCTACACATCAACTACAAAATTAACACAAGCCAGGTGTTGGTGGCGCACGCCTTTAATCCCAGTACTTGGGAGGCAGAGGCAGGCGGATCTCTGTGAGTTTCAGGCCAGCCTGGTCTCCAGAGCAAGTGCCAGGATAGGCTCCAAAGCTACACAGAGAAACCCTGTCTTGAAAAACCATAAAAACAGAAATAACTGTTCTTCAAATCAAATCATGAGGTAAAAGTTGGAGCTGCAGGCCATATATGAGGTGGTTTTCATCTCAGCAAAAGTCCTGACATGAATTAATTTGATCACGCTGAGTATCAATCCAAAAAAAGAGGAGGGGGGGCGGACTTGATGTATACAAAGCTGATGACAATCTAATCTGAGAGTGGTTTCATCATCTCTCACTCCAGCAAGAGGAGCAAGGGAAGCCTGTGTGGCCCTGTGCGGCACTATGTGAACTCAGGAGTGCAGCTGAATGCCAGCCCTGTTCACTGTCACCTAACTTGATGACTTGAGCTGAGTCTCCAGCACTTGTGACTGAAACCACCCAGCTAACAAACAACACACTCGGATTTTTCTCATTCACCTCAGCCTCAGTCCAGCACATTCATAACCCTCTGCATTTGGTGTGTGAGTGTGCACTCAGACACATGCATGTGTGTGAGCATACGTACGGGAACTTAAGAAAGAGGCAGGAGGGTGGAGGGAGACTCACCGGACACCAGGGGGCTGGCCCGCATGGGAAGCCCTCGCTGGCTGGCTGCCCTGCCAGGCACCATATTCTCCATCAGACTCTGCTGAGCCTTGGCCCTCCTCCTCCTCTTCCTCATCGTCGAACTGCTGGATCCGGTCCTTGTAGCATATCTCAAGCAGGTTGGCATTGGGCTGCAGGGCAGGAGGGCGTGCTGCACTGCGTGTGGGGCCCCCACACCCCCCACACCCCCCACACCCTGACAGCCAGGACAGGCAGCACTCACATTGTCGTCGTCAGCGTTTAAGGAGAAGGTGATGTTGGCAGTCTTGTCAAAGGGTGCACTGGGAGAAAAAAGGCATTTTCTGAGCCACAATTCTCCCCCCTGTGCTTGCTCCCAAGGCACACAGCAACCCTCATTGCTATGCAAGGTCAGCTCCTCCCTAAGGTGCTGTAACCTGAAACCCAGTGTCCACAGAACTCTAAGGTCACACAAGGAAGAGAAGTCAGCCACCTATCTCAGTCCCAGCACACCCCACTTGGTTCTTTCTCACAAGCACACTAAAGGGAAGTGTCCTCCTCATCCCTCCCCTAAGCATAAAAACTCAAGCTTCTGGGGCTGGAGAGGTGGCTCTGGGGTCAAACACACTTGCTGCTCAAGCAGACGACCTGGACTGGGTTCCCAAAGCCATGCAGTGGTTCATGGCCGTCCAGAACTCAGCTTCCTGGGGCCTCCGTCCTCTTCTGGACTCCATGGACAGACACTGTGTGCATATGGTGCGGACACACGCACGCACGCACGCACGCAAACTCACACACATAAAATTACACTGAATCCTACGACAGAGACAACGCAGCTTCCTTCGGATGCTCAGAGCCATGCTGGAAGCCCTGCAGGGCGGCCTGCAGCCTGTCTGTGACCTATCTGTCTGTGAAGTAGACTCACTTGGCACTTCTAAATCTCATTTTGTTATCTGTAACATCAAGAAAACAGCATCTACCTTGAAGGGTGTTTTTAAGGATTTACCTGCAACTTAGGTAAGAATTTACACACCCATCCATGTTTCCTGATGACGACAGCTTTGGGTGTGCCAAGCTGCAGTTCTTAACTACCACGCAACAAAGCAAATTACTAAAAAGCTGACGCAAGACACCCCTAATTCCGCAGCCACTCTGTGAGGGGCTCTAACGACACCAGTGCCATTTGCTGCTGACAGAAACACAGGGGGACCTGTCGCTTCCTGTCAGGGTTTGTGGCCTTCAATCATCCTCTTCCTTGTAAGCACCAGAGAGCTGCTGGGAAGGCACTGGCCCAGCACTGCCCTCCTGGAGAACACTCTGTAGTATCAAGGTGATCCATGAACGCCAGAGCCCCCCGGGGAGGACGATGACGGCAACAAACACACCACCAGGAATGGGAAGGGAAAGGAGTAGGGGAAGGGAGAGAGATGGGGAGAGAGAGAAGAGAAGAAGAGGCAGGAAAAGTCCTGCTCGCCCCTTGAGGAACAGAGGGAGAGAGAGCACAAGTGGGCCCAGTTTGCCTCTTAGAGGGACCTCTGCACCTCTGTACAGACTACTAGTGACATAGCAGCCATAGGACCTAGGGCTGACCAGGACACTGCCTGAGTGCACCCCGCCAGGTGACAGGGGACAGGCCAGCGTAATGCCTGAATCCTAACATATACGACGCTGAGAGCC